AAAAGAAAGGCTTCTTCTAGCTGGGCAGAGTAGTGTTAACTTGTAATCCTAGCTACTCAGGAGGCTGAGTCAAAAGGATTGCAAGTTCAAGACCAGCCCAGGCAAGCTGGCGAGACTCTGTCTCACAAAATAAAAAACAAAAAGGGCCTGGGATGTAGCTAAATGGAGGCGCACCCCTAGCTTCAATCCCCAAGTACTACAAGGAAAAAATTTTTTAAAATGAAAGAAAAGGAAGAGCCCCTTCTAGTTTTCTCTAAATTTCTGTCAGCTTCTGTATTTTATTCAGCTGTTATAAAGAAGGCCAATACCTTTTTCACGTATTATTTTAAAGAGAAATAATGTGCTGTAATTAATGTTAATGTTGTTTCCAAAATACATAAATGGAGAAGAGACCAAGGTAAAGATATTTTTTTTTTTTTTGAGTTGTTGCAGAATCCTGGAAGGTGAAGCATTATTGACACATTATTTTATGGACTACTTTTGGTTTCACTGTGTTTTGTTTTCAAAAAATTTCACTGAGGTTAAGTTGACACGTCAAGACCAATTGTTCCAGCAAACACATTCATAGGAGTTCTATAAGTCTGTAGCAGCTGGACTTGTGAGACATTCTTGGTGAGATATTCTGTCTGTGCTCATTTTCTCCTCGCTCAGCCGGGAGGGACACTCTTAAATCTTCTGTAGGTGCTGGGGGCTGTGGACCTGGGACATACAGAGATGCAGTGAATACATAGGGCTCCTGCATCACAGTTTCCGTGGACCACTGGCTGAGACTGACATTCCAGACTCTGGCACTCTTTCCTCATGCCACTTACAGGGAAACCAGCACTGATGTTTTCTCCTTGTGCAGATGTAAACACCACAGCTGGGGTTCGCACTGTGCCTAAAGGGATGAGGTCCCAAAATGTCACAGAAGACCCTGAAGACCAGAGGAAGCCAGGGATCTGGATTTACTCTTTGCCCTTCATTAACACAGAGTGATTGACCAACCCTAAGTGCTCAGATTAAAGCATGCTTTAAATTAAATCTCAAGCAATGCACATGTGTGCATACATACATACGTGTTAAGTGAGAGCATTGGACAGGGATGCACTTTTTGCCTTTATCTCTTCCTCTCTCTTGAGCTTAGGGTGACAGTGCAGAGACTTCTTCAGTCCCAAACCCCTAACCAGTGCATAGTGCCGCTCTGCACCCCCTTTGTGCCCTTTTGTGTCCTGTCCACACTGCTGGTATGGAAAGGCCCTTTGCTGCTTGAGCCACTCCTCTTAGTCTGCCAAGGACATCAGCAGGAACTAGAAATATAACCAGGAAAATGTGTTCTATCTGTCATCTGAGATCCTTTACCTGGAAAATTGCCTTCCGTTCCAGCACAGTCTCAAAACAAACAAACA